ATAAAATAAAATCCACTGTGATATAATAATAATAATAATAATAATAATAATAATAATAATAATAATAATAATAATAATAATAATAATAATAATAATAGGGAAAAGTCCACTTTTGGTCCTCCATGTTTAGGGGTATCCAGACTGAGTCCCTATTATTTTTTGGTGCCCAATTTTAGTCCTTAAAACAAAAAAAATGTAGTCCCTATTATGTTTTGGTGCCCAATTTTAGTCCTTAAAACAAAAATGTAGTTCCTATTATGTTTTGGTGCCCAATTTTAGTCCTTAAAACAAAAAAATGTAGTCCCTTTTATGTTTGGGTGCCCAATTTTACCTATTATGTTTTGCTGCACAATTTTAGTCCTAAAAAAAATAAAATGTAGTCCCTTAACCTCAATTTCTGTGAATTAATGGTCCATTTTTGTTAATAACATCAAAGTAGTTGTGTAAAATAATTTAAAACATCGAAAAGATGTAATCAAATTTCAAATGAACAAATTATTGACATGCTCATAAAAATCATGATACATTCATTGCATAATTATTAATTATTAAATATTAAATAATAAAATTATATATTTATATTACATACCCTGCACACAACAATCCATCCACTCGTCCGTGAGTGGGTCTGGCTCATTTTCTAGTGCCTTGCTCGTTTCCCTGACGAAGCCTCCTGGGTCGTCGTACGTCCGGCAGTTAGTGAACTGCTTGAAGAACTCGTTCGAGGGGTGGTTTGCGTAAATGACAATTTTGTCCATGGCCAGTGCCTCGTTTGTGGTTGTGCAAACCATATCTGTTGTACTCGGGTTCAAGAACACTTTAATAATTAATAAATATACAATGACTGTATCATGATTTTTATGATCAGGTCAATAATTAGTTCCTTTAAAATTTGATTACCTCTTTGCGATGTGTTAAATTATTTTACACAACTACTTTGATGTTATTAACAAAATGGACCGTTAATTCACATAAATTGAGGTTAAGAGACATTTTTTTGTTTTAAGGACTAAATTTGGGCACCAAAACATAATATGGACTACATTTTTTTATTTTTAGGACTAAAATTGGCACCAAAACATAAAAAGGACTACATTTTTTTTGTATTAAGGACTAAAATTTGACCCCAAAACATAATAGAGACTATATTTTTTTTTTTGTTTTAAGGACTAAAATTGGGCACCAAAATATAATTGGAACTACATTTTTTGTTTTTAAGGACAAAAATTGGACATCAAAAAATAATAAGGATTCAGTCTGGATACCCCTAAACATGGAGGACTAAAAGTGGACTTTTCCCATAATAATAATAATAATAATAATAATAATAATAATAATAATAATAATAATGATAATAATAATAATAATATCCATTTATAAACAATGGCAGAGGGAAAAAACACATCTTTCTTTGACTTTTTCTGGCTTGACTTTGTGCATGACTATTTGCCCCATTTTAATTGTATAGCTTTTATTAAAAATTTGCAAGCAACATTCCAATTTTAATAGATATTTCAATACTATTTATTTTGCTGGAATTTTTTACTGGATTCTAACAAAATTTTCAACAAGATATTTCATGAAAAAGAGTTTTTATTAGATTTTTCGTTGAATTTTGTTTATTCCAATGGCCAAAATTTTTATGGTAAAAACTATGGCCTAAAATAAAAAATTCTAACAAAAATCGTATATTCTAACGACAATAAATCGTTGAAAAAATAATCATTCTCTACTCTGCACTCTGCAAGTACCCCTTAATTTTTCCCATTGCCCATGCCACAAAGTCCATATACCTATCTGACCATGTCATCATGCAATAACCCCTAAAATCTTGACACCAAACATTACTATAAATACCCAACCAATTCATCTTCTCACAACAAATTAACACGCCTTTCATCTACCCACAAAACCCTAACAATGGGCCCCTTCCCCAAACCAATCTCCTCACTTCCCATCTTCCTCCTAATCTCCCTCCTCTCGGCACGCGCGCACGGAGCTTCCTTCACCGTCCGCAACAACTGCCCGTTCACAGTTTGGGCGGCCTCGGTCCCGGTCGGCGGTGGCCTCCGCCTCGACCGCGGGCAGACGTGGACCATCAACGTCCCCGCTAGCACTACTGGAGCCCGCATTTGGGCCCGAACTGGATGCTCGTTCGATGAGTCGGGCCGCGGCCAATGCCAGACGGGCGATTGTAATGGGCAACTACAGTGCCAGGGCTACGGTGTGCCCCCCAACACCCTAGCAGAATATGCGCTTAACCAATTCAACAATCTCGACTTTTATGACATATCTCTAGTGGACGGGTTCAATGTCCCGATGGAGTTTGGTCCTGATAATTCAGAGGGATGCAGTCGCGACATCGAGTGCACGTCCGATATCAACGGGCAATGCCCAAACGATCTACGGGCCCCGGGAGGGTGCAATAACCCGTGCACGGTGTACAAGACCGACCAGTACTGCTGCAACTCCGGGAACTGTGA